GACACATGCTGCAAAGTGACACTTTCGCCCCACCACCGTGGGAAACAATGCACATAAAAAAAGGCAATACGGAGTAAGGCGCGTTGGAAGCCATAAACGAAGACAAAAGCATACGTTAAACGAGGAAGAGATCCACAGGAGCAAACAAGTAGAACACAGAAAAACAAACAGATGGCTGTGTTGTGAAAGCATCAGTAGGCCACTAGAAAGAACACAAAGCGCCGAGATATGAACGCCTTGGTCCCCCTTGCCTGTGAGTCTCTAAGTAGCGCCAGGAGCTGCGCTGATGTTGCGCTGCAGGGTTTATCAATGTCCAGCATCACAGCGGCCTCTGTAACTGTGGCGGCGACCTCTGATCTGAAACCTTGCCATGTATCGAACTCGAGTCCTTCCCTTAATAATGACCCCAGAGGCGGCCTTAGCTGCCGGACTGCTGCTTCAGCAAACGGCTGGAAAATCCGAGAAAGCAAGGGCTCTCGGAGGGCTAAGGCGTCCATGTTGCGTTCGTACCTCTTTTCTACTTCAATCAGTGCACTAGCGGGGTCGCCTGTTGGGACTGCTACTGCTCCAAGACTGCGGCCTGCAGCAGCATCAGCATCTGCAGCAGCTGCGGCTGCCGCTTCGCCACGCAGATGGTCCCGCCACGCACTAAGCCGTCGTTCTTCTTCTACCAATACCAGTACGTGGTTGAGGAGATTGCGGAAGAAGGAGACACCGAGATCTTTGACTTCGTATGAGGGATGCTCCAGCAGGGCCTTGGAGAGCTCACAAATCGTCTCCACCGCGGGTTCCAGCGCAACAGCGGCCGCCTCGTTAGCACTCCCGCTGCTGTTGCTGCCACTGTTGTTGCTGCTGCCGGAGCTGAAAATGCCCTCCGTCAGGCGTGCTTCTGCCTCCGCCAAGTCTACTAGTAGACGAGGAATCTGTGACTTAGCCAACTCCGTCAAGCCCAGTGCGAATACTTGCAGTCTTTCTATGTCAAATGCTGCGATGCCACGCGGTTGCTGCAGCGCAGCACAGGTGAGACTGGGCCTATGCTTGTGGCCTTACAGTAAGCTACAATACAAGTATTAAGGCACTATGGGTCATGGCACATGCTCGTGTAGTACAGGAGATAATACTTGAGCAGACTGAGCAAATTTGTGCATAAGTACGTCCTGGGGGAAACGACATTTCACAGGCCTTCACAGGCCGCCGCAATAATTGCAGCGGCAGGTGGTGCTGCCTGTCAGGCCTGACAGGGCATGCAAATGAATCCTCTTACGCCTCTTGCTGCAGTTAGTGCCGCGGAGCAGCCATCACCGTAGGCCCTGACAATAGCAGCAATCAGAGCTCGGCTAATTGTCGCCTCTCCGCCACTTCCTCCCTCCGCACTGTCTACCGCGGGTGTTGGCTGTGCGGGGCCATCTGCACCTGCAGGCTCTCTGTTGCCGCTTGATGCTGCTGCTGCTGCTGTTGAGTCCTCCAGCATAGAAGCCGCAGCAATTAGTGTCACCACGCACTCTGTAGACAGCTGCAAAGTGTCGACGTCGTCCGATATAACCCCACGAAGAAGAGCAGCAAAGATGCTGCCTCTGTAAACGCGCTGCAGGCCGAGTGTCAAGGCTTCTAAGGCAGCAGCTGGGCCCCAGAGTCCCTGCTGTTGCTCTAACTGCTGTTGGCCCCTCTGCTCTGTCACCACTTGCTGCACCCAGCAGCACGTTGCCGAGAGCCACGACTGAACAGTTCTCACAGCTGAGCACCAGCACCAAGTCCCACAACCATGTGTCTGCGTAGGCTACAAGCGAGCGGACTGTACAGGACTCAATTTCAGGTGTTGTTGCTGTTGCTATGGTTTGCTTCACCGCTGCTGCTGCTGCAAATTAAGTAGATGCGTCAGCAGCAGCCGTACTGTGTGACAATCTGCCAGCATCTCTGGCATGTGTGTTCGCTGTTTTGCAATTGTGAGAGACGGGAACAGCAATTGCAGTGGATGGAGGGAGCCAATGACTAACCTCCATGCAGTACTGCCCGCCAATGCGACCTGTCTTCAGGCCCTGACCTATCATGCGCTGCCTGCGCATGCACAAATATGGCCTCTACAGCGTCTATAACTTGCGCAGAGTTTTTGCTAATGCAGCAGGCTAGGTAAGGCAACCGACGATCCTCTGGCAAGGCGATCCTGCGGAGACAGATACAGCGTGACTTTGGTCATAATTGTTGACGTTAAGTACCTTTCAAAGAGCCCCACTCAACTGCGAGATTTGCATTCACCTTTTCGTGCATAACTCCTCAGGGAGAAAGACCAATAGTTCTAGTAGAGGCAGGAAGCCATCAGTCCCCGCGTTACGTCCCAGCATCTGCAATACGGGGCTTAGCTGAAGACCCCGTTCACTTCCCGGAGCACTATCGCCGGCAGAAGCCCCGAATATGAGCGCAGCAGAGAGAGTTACGCACAGCTGACGCAGAACCGGCAACGGCGCATCTCTAAAAGCAAACACTAGCTGCAGCAAACCGTCTCTAAGCTCGGCATACACCTGAGATGCCGACCCCACTGAGCCGCAAAAGACGGACGAAGATGCAGCGGTAGCAGAAGATCCATGCGTAGACAACAGCGCAGATAGCTGCTGCGGGAAACCTGCGCGAGCCTGAGCCGCGAGAGTCTGAGCTGCAAAGTGCAGAACCTCTGGGGAATGGCAGCTAGATGACACTGACGGCTGCTCCTGTTGCTGCTGTTGTCGCTGTTGCTGAAGTTGACTGTGCTTGTTAAGAATGGAGATGCAAATGCCCCATGCACTGGGGTCGCGCTGGAACTCCGTGAGGTACTTGTTTGCAGCTGCGGTTGAGGACTCCCCCTGAACTGATGTTGAGGGCGAGTTCAGCACGTACACCATCTGCACCACACCCTCCTCTGTATAGACAGGCCTGTGTGCAGTGCCATTATTCATGAGGGACCCAGCTTTCGGAGTAACAGATGAGCCGCTGTCAAATGTTGGAGGTCCGGAGGGCCCCGGAGGATCCCCCATGTTGCCTTCCGAGTCCATTGTACCTTTAGTTAGAGCTCAATTATGTATAAACACAAGGTACGAAAACAAAATGCAGTGGTCCCGGGGCTGCCCCGTTGGTAAACAGTTGCGTTGTGGTGCTGGCGTTGGCCGGGGCTGCCACAGGCACGCGTAGCACTCTTGAGAGAAGTTACGGGAAACCCATAAAAAGAAACAAGCCAACAGTTAAGGGCTCTGCCAGTTTACTTTAGAAGAGGTGCAGAGACACGGTATGATGGTGGTTGCTCCAGTGGAGCTGGCTCCTGGTGGGCCGCAGACAGGCGATCCCAGCCAACAAAAATTTGCACATTAACAGCCCTATATCTGTGAAACTTCTGCACATCGCGAGCCCAATATCTGTGATAGTTTTACGCAAAAACTGACACAGCTTCGCGCCGAACACTTAAAGTAGAGAAAATGTGAGTAGACTTCTAGGGAAGTCAGCCAACAGTAACCTGGAGTTCCCTCAGTATAGCCAACCATGTGTGCAATTGGTTCGAGTAATGGCTCAAGCTTTTACTTCTGAGCTGAAGCCAATTTCCCCGCACATAAGAATGATGGAAAATCAACTACTCGGAAGAATGTCGCAAGGCCAAGGAGAAAGCGCCACCAGTGTACGTAAAAGAAGCCACCTATGGGAATCGAACCCACGACCTTCAGTTTACAAGACTGACGCTCTACCACTAAGCTAAGGAGGCTGAAGCAGGTTAGTCACCGTATGAAGGCCCTCTGAATCACGAGCATCACATGATATTCATTCTCCACAAGTGCTGGATCAGTCCAGTGGCATTTGCCCATTGAAAACAGTTTCTCTACTCTTCAGGCAACTTTGGCATCCTGGAACAAGATGCTGCTTTATGCGCGGTTGTAATGCCGCTCACAAGGCATTCAAAGGTGCCGTCATGCACGCGAAGGAATTTGCGTACTTTCGCTGACTTCAAAGGAGAACGCCTCACAGATGGGCTTCGCTTGTATCATAGGAGGAGCTCGCGCTTGATAAGGGTTCTCTGCCAATTGCGGTTCCATGAAATCAGGACGCAGAATTACGTTACCGTGTTGATTATAGTGTGCCCAATGAAAAAAAATAACAATCTGGCCAGATACTTTATTCAACGCACTGGAAAGGCTGAAGTCCCATGAAGCAATGCAGCGTGGTGTCTTCTGTTTCAACGCAAAGTAAAAGGAACGCCAGTGAAAAGTTTTCTGAGTGTCTATGGGAGAACTCACCCTGACATGATAGCTTTTGTGTGAACAGGAGTGCACCACATAGTTATGTGTGAAAAACAGCGCAACAGCGAGCTCTCAACAGATACCCATCTACATGTACTGGACATAGCTGAAGAAGACACTGAAAAACAAATTGTCAAACATGCGACCGCATCCACGGTACCTGTACGCCTAAACTCATGCCAACGTGTTGCCGGAGACTCTAGTGTCAGCAAGCACCTCTTGTTCTGATACTAAAACAAGCCTTCAGGAAGACACGGGTTAGAGACTGGCTTAGACACCTGAAATAAAGCTTTTTTGAGCAGTTCTCACCCAGAATTGCAAATGCGGTCTCCTTGTGTGAATCGCATCCCTGAAAAATACCCACCATAATTGTATGAAGCCTAGAGCCTTCGAACAAAAAGCTAATGCCGATTTTCGGACATTTCACGGTATTCACACAACCCCCTTGTACAGGGAACACACTATTTTCACTCCTCATTAATGGCGAAGGCCAAGCACGTCTACTGACACAAACATCGACACAACATCACTATCTGCGCGCACACACGCGTATATATACCCGCTGCAAGCGCCCTACTGATTACGAAAACTACCTAGAAGGGCGCACGTATGACCGGCACGGTGTGCGGAACCTTGAAAGCCCTGAGCTCAGGCGGAGGAGATCCATTAGCAGTGTTTGGCAGAGGAGCGGCGAATGCGTTTCGTCGGCGGTGACGGGAGTAACCATTGGTCCGAATCGTCTAGAGGTTAGGACAACACGTTGTGGCCGTGTAAACCCAGGTTCAATTCCTGGTTCGGACAGTGTTTGGAGCCCGCTGAGGCGTTTTGTTTGGTTAGTGTTGCGTGTTGTTGAGCCAGTGTGGTGAGCGGTGCTGGCAAGTGGGGAGTAGCGAAGCGGTTAGTTGGAGAGGGCGGTTTGTGTGGCTTAAAGGCTTGGAACGTTTGAGGGTGGGCAGTGCAGTGTTTGGGGGGGGAAAGGGGCGCGAGGCGGGCTTTGGTGTTTGTCGTGGCGTTAAAGCGCGTGCTGACGTATTCGATAGTTGTGTTGTGTTGCGTGTTGCGCGCTGAAGAGAATGCCTGTCGAGGATGCGTGTGGGGTGTTTCGCAGCAGGGAGAGGCGAGCGGAGGAAGGAAAGCGTGCGGACAAGGCACTAGGCACGGGTGATTGCAGGCAGTGTGCGTCGTTGTTGTTGTGCGTCGAGGAGGAGTCGGATTTGGAGGGTGGGTGCAGGACGAGAACTGGGTTGGCGCAGGGCTGGAGGAAGGTGCATTTATGGACGTTGCTGCTGCGGCGCGTTGGAGTGGGGAAAGGAGGGCGTAGGCGAGAGAAACTGGGTGGGGCGGCTGCGCAGGCAGAGGTTGAGAGGACAAGAGGTGGGTGTAGGACGTGGGGAGCCCTGGGCTGAGGCGGAGTAGATTCATTAGCAGTGTTTGGCAGAGGAGCGGCGAATGCGTTTCGTCGGCGGTGACGGGAGTGACCATTGGTCCGAATCGTCTAGAGGTTAGGACAACACGTTGTGGCCGTGTAAACCCAGGTTCAATTCCTGGTTTGGACAGTGTTTGGAGCCCGCGGAGGCGTTTTGTTTGGTTAGTGTTGCGTGTTGTTGAGCCAGTGTTGTGAGCGGTGCTGGCAAGTGGGGAGTAGCGAAGCGGTTAGTTGGAGAGGGCGGTTTATGTGGTTTAAAGGCTTGGAACGTTTGAGGGGTGGTTGGGCAGTGCAGTGTTTGGGGGGGGAAAGGGGCGCGAGGCGGGCTTTGGTGTTTGTCGTGGCGTTAAAGCGCGTGCTGACGTATTCGATAGTTGTGTTGTGTTGCGTGTTGCCCGCTGAAGAGAATGCCTGTCGAGGATGCATGTGGGGTGTTTCGCAGCAGGGAGAGGCGGGCGGAGGAAGGAAAGCGTGCGGACAAGGCACTAGGCACGGGTGATTGCAGGCAGTGTGCGTTGTTGTTGTTGTGCGTCGAGGAGGAGTCGGATTTGGAGGGTGGGTGCAGGACGAGGACTGGGTTGGCGCAGGGCTGGAGGAAGGTGCATTTATGGATGTTGCTGCTGCGGCGCGTTGGAGTGGGGAAAGGAGGGCGTAGGCGAGAGAAACTGGGTGGGGCGGCTGCGCAGGCAGAGGTTGAGAGGACAAGAGGTGGGTGGAGAACGTGGGGAGCCCTGGGCTGAGGCGGAGTAGATTCATTAGCAGTGTTTGGCAGAGGAGCGGCGAATGCGTTTCGTCGGCGGTGACGGGAGTGACCATTGGTCCGAATCGTCTAGAGGTTAGGACAACACGTTGTGGCCGTGTAAACCCAGGTTCAATTCCTGGTTCGGACAGTGTTTGGAGCCCGCTGAGGGTTTTGTTTGGTTAGTGTTGCGTGTTGTTGAGCCAGTGTGGTGAGCGGTGCTGGCAAGTGGGGAGTAGCGAAGCGGTTAGTTGGAGAGGGCGGTTTGTGTGGTTTAAAGGCTTGGAACGTTTGAGGGGTGGTTGGGCAGTGCAGTGTTTGGGGAGGAAAAGGGGCGCGAGGCGGGCTTTGGTGTTTGTCGTGGCGTTAAAGCGCGTGCTGACGTATTCGATAGTTGTGTTGTGTTGCGTGTTGCGCGCTGAAGAGGGTGCCTGTCGAGGATGCGTGTGGGGTGTTTCGCAGCAGGGAGAGGCGGGCGGAGGAAGGAAAGCGTGCGGACAAGGCACTAGGCACGGGTGATTGCAGGCAGTGTGCGTTGTTGTTGTTGTGCGTCGAGGAGGAGTCGGATTTGGAGGGTGGGTGCAGGACGAGGACTGGGTTGGCGCAGGGCTGGAGGAAGGTGCATTTATGGACGTTGCTGCTGCGGCGCGTTGGAGTGGGGAAAGGAGGGCGTAGGCGAGAGAAACTGGGTGGGGCGGCTGCGCAGGCAGAGGTTGAGAGGACAAGAGGTGGGTGTAGAACGTGGGGAGCTCTGGGCTGAGGCGGAGTAGATTCATTAGCAGTGTTTGGCAGAGGAGCGGCGAATGCGTTTCGTCGGCGGTGACGGGAGTGACCATTGGTCCGAATCGTCTAGAGGTTAGGACAACACGTTGTGGCCGTGTAAACCCAGGTTCAATTCCTGGTTCGGACAGTGCTTGGAGCCCGCGGAGGCGTTTTGTTTGGTTAGTGTTGTGTGTTGTTGAGCCAGTGTTGCGAGCGGTGCTGGCAAGTGGGGAGTAGCGAAGCGGTTAGTTGGAGAGGGCGGTTTGTGTGGTTTAAAGGCTTGGAACGTTTGAGGGGTGGTTGGGCAGTGCAGTGTTTGGGGGGGGAAAGGGGCGCGAGGCGGGCTTTGGTGTTTGTCGTGGCGTTAAAGCGCGTGCTGACGTATTCGATAGTTGTGTTGTGTTGCGTGTTGCGCGCTGAAGAGGGTGCCTGTCGAGGATGCGTGTGGGGTGTTTCGCAGCAGGGAGAGGCGGGCGGAGGAAGGAAAGCGTGCGGACAAGGCGCTAGGCACGGGTGATTGCAGGCAGTGTGCGTCGTTGTTGTTGTGCGTCGAGGAGGAGTCGGATTTGGAGGGTGGGTGCAGGACGAGGACTGGGTTGGCGCAGGGCTGGAGGAAGGTGCATTTATGGACGTTGCTGCTGCGGCGCGTTGGAGTGGGGAAAGGAGGGCGTAAGCGAGAGAAACTGGGTGGGGCGGCTGCGCAGGCAGAGGTTGAGAGGACAGGAGGTGGGTGTAGAACGTGGGGAGCCCTGGGCTGAGGCGGAGTAGATTCATTAGCAGTGTTTGGCAGAGGAGCGGCGAATGCGTTTCGTCGGCGGTGACGGGAGTGACCATTGGTCCGAATCGTGTAGAGGTTAGGACAACACGTTGTGGCCGTGTAAACCCAGGTTCAATTCCTGGTTCGGACAGTGTTTGGAGCCCGCTGAGGGTTTTGTTTGGTTAGTGTTGCGTGTTGTTGAGCCAGTGTGGTGAGCGGTGCTGGCAAGTGGGGAGTAGCGAAGCGGTTAGTTGGAGAGGGCGGTTTGTGTGGTTTAAAGGCTTGGAACGTTTGAGGGGTGGTTGGGCAGTGCAGTGTTTGGGGGGGGAAAGGGGCGCGAGGCGGGCTTTGGTGTTTGTCGTGGCGTTAAAGCGCGTGCTGACGTATTCGATAGTTGTGTTGTGTTGCGTGTTGCGCGCTGAAGAGGGTGCCTGTCGAGGATGCGTGTGGGGTGTTTCGCAGCAGGGAGAGGCGGGCGGAGGAAGGAAAGCGTGCGGACAAGGCACTAGGCACGGGTGATTGCAGGCAGTGTGCGTCGTTGTTGTTGTGCGTCGAGGAGGAGTCGGATTTGGAGGGTGGGTGCAGGACGAGGACTGGGTTGGCGCAGGGCTGGAGGAAGGTGCATTTATGGACGTTGCTGCTGCGGCGCGTTGGAGTGGGGAAAGGAGGGCGTAGGCGAGAGAAACTGGGTGGGGCGGCTGCGCAGGCAGAGGTTGAGAGGACAAGAGGTGGGTGTAGAACGTGGGGAGCCCTGGGCTGAGGCGGAGTAGATTCATTAGCAGTGTTTGGCAGAGGAGCGGCGAATGCGTTTCGTCGGCGGTGACGGGAGTGACCATTGGTCCGAATCGTCTAGAGGTTAGGACAACACGTTGTGGCCGTGTAAACCCAGGTTCAATTCCTGGTTCGGACAGTGTTTGGAGCCCGCTGAGGCGTTTTGTTTGGTTAGTGTTGCGTGTTGTTGAGCCAGTGTTGTGAGCGGTGCTGGCAAGTGGGGAGTAGCGAAGCGGTTAGTTGGAGAGGGCGGTTTGTGTGGTTTAAAGGCTTGGAACGTTTGAGGGGTGGTTGGGCAGTGCAGTGTTTGGGGGGGGAAAGGGGCGCGAGGCGGGCTTTGGTGTTTGTCGTGGCGTTAAAGCGCGTGCTGACGTATTCGATAGTTGTGTTGTGTTGCGTGTTGCGCGCTGAAGAGGGTGCCTGTCGAGGATGCGTGTGGGGTGTTTCGCAGCAGGGAGAGGCGGGCGGAGGAAGGAAAGCGTGCGGACAAGGCACTAGGCACGGGTGGTTGCAGGCAGTGTGCGTCGTTGTTGTTGTGCGTCGAGGAGGAGTCGGATTTGGAGGGTGGGTGCAGGACGAGGACTGGGTTGGCGCAGGGCTGGAGGAAGGTGCATTTATGGACGTTGCTGCTGCGGCGCGTTGGAGTGGGGAAAGGAGGGCGTAGGCGAGAGAAACTGGGTGGGGCGGCTGCGCAGGCAGAGGTTGAGAGGACAAGAGGTGGGTGTAGGACGTGGGGAGCTCTGGGCTGAGGCGGAGTAGATTCATTAGCAGTGTTTGGCAGAGGAGCGGCGAATGCGTTTCGTCGGCGGTGACGGGAGTGACCATTGGTCCGAATCGTCTAGAGGTTAGGACAACACGTTGTGGCCGTGTAAACCCAGGTTCAATTCCTGGTTTGGACAGTGTTTGGAGCCCGCGGAGGCGTTTTGTTTGGTTAGTGTTGCGTGTTGTTGAGCCAGTGTGGTGAGCGGTGCTGGCAAGTGGGGAGTAGCGAAGCAGTTAGTTGGAGAGGGCGGTTTGTGTGGTTTAAAGGCTTGGAACGTTTGAGGGGTGGTTGGGCAGTGCAGTGTTTGGGGGTGGAAAGGGGCGCGAGGCGGGCTTTGGTGTTTGTCGTGGCGTTAAAGCGCGTGCTGACGTATTCGATAGTTGTGTTGTGTTGCGTGTTGCGCGCTGAAGAGGGTGCCTGTCGAGGATGCGTGTGGGGTGTTTCGCAGCAGGGAGAGGCGGGCGGAGGAAGGAAAGCGTGCGGACAAGGCACTAGGCACGGGTGATTGCAGGCAGTGTGCGTTGTTGTTGTTGTGCGTCGAGGAGGAATCGGATTTGGAGGGTGGGTGCAGGACGAGGACTGGGTTGGCGCAGGGCTGGAGAAAGGTGCATTTATGGACGTTGCTGCTGCGGCGCGTTGGAGTGGGGAAAGGAGGGCGTAGGCGAGAGAAACTGGGTGGGCCGGCTGCGCAGGCAGAGGTTGAGAGGACAAGAGGTGGGTGTAGGACGTGGGGAGCCCTGGGCTGAGGCGGAGTAGATTCATTAGCAGTGTTTGGCAGAGGAGCGGCGAATGCGTTTCGTCGGCGGTGACGGGAGTGACCATTGGTCCGAATCGTCTAGAGGTTAGGACAACACGTTGTGGCCGTGTAAACCCAGGTTCAATTCCTGGTTCGGACAGTGTTTGGAGCCCGCTGAGGCGTTTTGTTTGGTTAGTGTTGTGTGTTGTTGAGCCAGTGTTGCGAGCGGTGCTGGCAAGTGGGGAGTAGCGAAGCGGTTAGTTGGAGAGGGCGGTTTGTGTGGTTTAAAGGCTTGGAACGTTTGAGGGGTGGTTGGGCAGTGCAGTGTTTGGGGAGGAAAAGGGGCGCGAGGCGGGCTTTGGTGTTTGTCGTGGCGTTAAAGCGCGTGCTGACGTATTCGATAGTTGTGTTGTGTTGCGTGTTGCGCGCTGAAGAGGGTGCCTGTCGAGGATGCGTGTGGGGTGTTTCGCAGCAGGGAGAGGCGGGCGGAGGAAGGAAAGCGTGCGGACAAGGCACTAGGCACGGGTGATTGCAGGCAGTGTGCGTTGTTGTTGTTGTGCGTCGAGGAGGAGTCGGATTTGGAGGGTGGGTGCAGGACGAGGACTGGGTTGGCGCAGGGCTGGAGGAAGGTGCATTTATGGACGTTGCTGCTGCGGCGCGTTGGAGTGGGGAAAGGAGGGCGTAGGCGAGAGAAACTGGGTGGGGCGGCTGCGCAGGCAGAGGTTGAGAGGACAAGAGGTGGGTGTAGAACGTGGGGAGCTCTGGGCTGAGGCGGAGTAGATTCATTAGCAGTGTTTGGCAGAGGAGCGGCGAATGCGTTTCGTCGGCGGTGACGGGAGTGACCATTGGTCCGAATCGTCTAGAGGTTAGGACAACACGTTGTGGCCGTGTAAACCCAGGTTCAATTCCTGGTTCGGACAGTGTTTGGAGCCCGCTGAGGGTTTTGTTTGGTTAGTGTTGCGTGTTGTTGAGCCAGTGTGGTGAGCGGTGCTGGCAAGTGGGGAGTAGCGAAGCGGTTAGTTGGAGAGGGCGGTTTGTGTGGTTTAAAGGCTTGGAACGTTTGAGGGGTGGTTGGGCAGTGCAGTGTTTGGGGGGGGAAAGGGGCGCGAGGCGGGCTTTGGTGTTTGTCGTGGCGTTAAAGCGCGTGCTGACGTATTCGATAGTTGTGTTGTGTTGCGTGTTGCGCGCTGAAGAGGGTGCCTGTCGAGGATGCGTGTGGGGTGTTTCGCAGCAGGGAGAGGCGAGCGGAGGAAGGAAAGCGTGCGGACAAGGGACTAGGCACGGGTGGTTGCATGCAGTGTGCGTTGTTGTTGTTGTGCGTCGAGGAGGAGTCGGATTTGGAGGGTGGGTGCAGGACGAGGACTGGGTTGGCGCAGGGCTGGAGGAACGTGCATTTATGGAGGTTGCTGCTGCGGCGCGTTGGAGTGGGGAAAGGAGGGCGTAGGCGAGAGAAACTGGGTGGGGCGGCTGCGCAGGCAGAGGTTGAGAGGACAAGAGGTGGGTGTAGAACGTGGGGAGCCCTGGGCTGAGGCGGAGTAGATTCATTAGCAGTGTTTGGCAGAGGAGCGGCGAATGCGTTTCGTCGGCGGTGACGGGAGTGACCATTGGTCCGAATCGTGTAGAGGTTAGGACAACACGTTGTGGCCGTGTAAACCCAGGTTCAATTGCTGGTTCGGACAGTGTTTGGAGCCCGCGGAGGCGTTTTGTTTGGTTAGTGTTGCGTGTTGTTGAGCCAGTGTGGTGAGCGGTGCTGGCAAGTGGGGAGTAGCGAAGCGGTTAGTTGGAGAGGGCGGTTTGTGTGGTTTAAAGGCTTGGAACGTTTGAGGGGTGGTTGGGCAGTGCAGTGTTTGGGGGGGGAAAGGGGCGCGAGGCGGGCTTTGGTGTTTGTCGTGGCGTTAAAGCGCGTGCTGACGTATTCGATAGTTGTGTTGTGTTGCGTGTTGCGCGCTGAAGAGGGTGCCTGTCGAGGATGCGTGTGGGGTGTTTCGCAGCAGGGAGAGGCGAGCGGAGGAAGGAAAGCGTGCGGACAAGGCACTAGGCACGGGTGGTTGCAGGCAGTGTGCGTTGTTGTTGTTGTGCGTCGAGGAGGAGTCGGATTTGGAGGGTGGGTGCAGGACGAGGACTGGGTTGGCGCAGGGCTGGAGGAAGGTGCATTTATGGACGTTGCTGCTGCGGCGCGTTGGAGTGGGGAAAGGAGGGCGTAGGCGAGAGAAACTGGGTGGGCCGGCTGCGCAGGCAGAGGTTGAGAGGACAAGAGGTGGGTGTAGAACGTGGGGAGCTCTGGGCTGAGGCGGAGTAGATTCATTAGCAGTGTTTGGCAGAGGAGCGGCGAATGCGTTTCGTCGGCGGTGACGGGAGTGACCATTGGTCCGAATCGTCTAGAGGTTAGGACAACACGTTGTGGCCGTGTAAACCCAGGTTCAATTCCTGGTTCGGACAGTGTTTGGAGCCCGCTGAGGGTTTTGTTTGGTTAGTGTTGTGTGTTGTTGAGCCAGTGTTGCGAGCGGTGCTGGCAAGTGGGGAGTAGCGAAGCGGTTAGTTGGAGAGGGCGGTTTGTGTGGTTTAAAGGCTTGGAACGTTTGAGGGGTGGTTGGGCAGTGCAGTGTTTGGGGGGGGAAAGGGGCGCGAGGCGGGCTTTGGTGTTTGTCGTGGCGTTAAAGCGCGTGCTGACGTATTCGATAGTTGTGTTGTGTTGCGTGTTGCGCGCTGAAGAGGGTGCCTGTCGAGGATGCGTGTGGGGTGTTTCGCAGCAGGGAGAGGCGGGCGGAGGAAGGAAAGCGTGCGGACAAGGCACTAGGCACGGGTGATTGCAGGCAGTGTGCGTCGTTGTTGTTGTGCGTCGAGGAGGAGTCGGATTTGGAGGGTGGGTGCAGGACGAGGACTGGGTTGGCGCAGGGCTGGAGGAAGGTGCATTTATGGACGTTGCTGCTGCGGCGCGTTGGAGTGGGGAAAGGAGGGCGTAGGCGAGAGAAACTGGGTGGGGCGGCTGCGCAGGCAGAGGTTGAGAGGACAAGAGGTGGGTGTAGAACGTGGGGAGCCCTGGGCTGAGGCGGAGTAGATTCATTAGCAGTGTTTGGCAGAGGAGCGGCGAATGCGTTTCGTCGGCGGTGACGGGAGTGACCATTGGTCCGAATCGTGTAGAGGTTAGGACAACACGTTGTGGCCGTGTAAACCCAGGTTCAATTCCTGGTTCAGACGGTTTGGAGCCCGCTGAGGGTTTTGTTTGGTTAGTGTTGCGTGTTGTTGAGCCAGTGTGGTGAGCGGTGCTGGCAAGTGGGGAGTAGCGAAGCGGTTAGTTGGAGAGGGCGGTTTGTGTGGTTTAAAGGCTTGGAACGTTTGAGGCTTTTAATTAATGACGTTCTTTTCATTTGCGATCAGCCTGTACGGCTATTGCGTATACTGGTTTTGATCAATTATCTGCTGTGCTCTGGTACTGAATCTACAATGCGTTGAGCAGCTTTTCGAGTCTTTTCCAGCATTTCGCTGTAATGTTCGTTCGTTGGTGGATATTCATGACTGGCGGTAACGAGGACCAGCTTTCTTGTAAACGTCCCAAAATCAGCCTATCTTTGCGTGTACTGGTGTAATGCCATGCCTTCCCTGCATTTTGGTTTTCTCGGGGAGCCACCACGTCCTGCTTCTGACAGTTCTGGCATTGTTCTTAATTAGTCACCTATAGACCCAAAAGTGTTTTTAAGAGAAACGAACCATATAAGCGTGGTCATAGCAGGTTCTGGAGACCTGTAGATGGACCAAAACGAAACCCAGTGCAGCCCCATCTACTTCAGTAGAAGTGCCAGTCAACGCAGGGGAAGCGGAAGCAAAACAAATAAGTCAAACTGCCTAGATTTTAATCCTATATCGGTCATGAAATTGTCCAACACCTGTACTTGCTATGAGTAATAAATACATCACGATTTTACCGCTCGCTCTTCCTCTAGGTGGCCACCCAAGCTAAATCTCCAATATTTGCTCCCTTGCACTCTTCAACGCACACACACCTACAATGTCCCAACGTGGCGTCGGCAACCGGCTATTCACGAGCCTCTGCCAAAAGAATCATACGCCCCGGAAGGACTGAGCAAGCAAAACACGCTGGTTCACGGGCACGCTTAGGCCCTCCATGCGAGCAGTCTAAATACAGTGCTAATGTCCTCTACCGAAGTGTGGCAACCAGTATTTTATTATATTCACAACCCAAAGACGGCAGACGCCCGAAGTGTCGCCGGCCAACTAGAACCGAATATTGGGTGCAGCAATGGGAAAACTAAAGAGAAGGAAGAGCTCTTGGTGGTCCGGTGGGCCAAATCGCCCCACAATTAGCAACCAACAACGTATGCCACGACGTAGGCCTTCTCACATTCAGCGATTGTCTTCCGCACTTAATGATTAGACGCTGGTAGCTGAGTCCTGCGTTTAGGGAATTTGTAGAAACCTTGCGTTCCGTTTTGCTGAGCCGTGTAAAGGCTCCTCCGCAGTGCTCGTCAGAAAAAACGCTCAAATTGCAGCTATCCAAGAGCAACGTTTTCATTGCCTTGTGCACCGCCTTTGGACAGTGTTTTCCACACTTTATACTGTTATTAGGCAACGCTTCCTACTCTATATATCGTTCCTTATTTGCTGCCTGCGGTGACGCCTAGACGCTGATAATTAGTACTACTGCAGCTAGTCCTAAATGCATCCAAGCAAAGACCCCTAGCGAATGCATCCCTGCGTAAGGTTAGGATAATGAAAACGGAAACGAACAGTAAAGCCAACAGATTTAGCATCACGGTCACTTGAGAGTTAGCCGAAGGGAAAAGCTGCTTGGGCAGAATGGGCCGCCCCTTGAATTCTCTGTGCACCAATACACAAGAGCACAAACCCCAGAAGCCTTCAACGTAAAATCCCTTTAAAGTGAGGCACACTGTAAGAAGACAAAGCACAACGCCGCGCTGACGAACATGGAAGGCCTACCTGCGGTACACCGAAGGGCTGTTGGCGCTGCAAAGCTGGCTGCATCGCCTGCTGCTGGCCAGGTGCAGTAGCACCAGAGCTATCCAAGTCTTCATTGGGATATTTGAGACGAAGATAGACAGCTTGGCACGCAGACTCGTGATAAATGAGATCCGCTGCAACAGAACAAGCACCAACGCAGATGTAACAACTTGGCCACACTCCCATGAGCGGAGGTGGCTCGCTCTGGGCCCATGGCTGTATGCACGCACCTACAGACTGCGTTTGTCTAATTGCATGCACTCGCAGGGACGGTTCGCTTTTTCCCAGCAAGTTGATGGAGCCAAAGATCGTCACCAGGCCCCCGCAACACAAAGCATCCTGCAAAGAAGCCCAGGACGCTCTCAACCTGCATTATTCCATACGCTGAACAACCCAAAACTGTAGCCATTGTGTGGCTAGAAAGTCCCATAGAGATGTCCAAAGAATCCCACCGCGACAACATCAAAAAAGAGCACAAAAGTGTAGAATAAAAGCGCATGCAGGGGCCTGAACTTGGACTGCAAGGAACATGAAAAATGGAAAGAGGACCACACCAGTGATCAGACGATTTGTCACACGGCTGAGGAAAAGGGGGATGAAAACGGGGCTACAGGACAAGAGGAAAATTTACAAGACATGGAAAATCTTGCAAACATACAAGGATTTGATTCTGACGGAACTCTGTGAGCTCGTCTCCAACTGTGTATTCGCATTCAATTCTTCCGGTGAAGTCATCCAGGCTGAACTGAACCCGGGCACTCTGCAAAGCCGTCTCAAGTGATTCTGAAAAAACGGAAAACAAGTGTAGGAGAAGTGGCAAGTAGTTGCTGCGTCCGACGCCCTACACGGAAGCCTGAAGTGACTGGCCCGCCGCTGCTGCAGCCCCAGCCAGTGTGTTGAGATGGCTCTGGCTCGAATCTGCCCCGCAAAGCCCCTTATCCACCAGCCTTTGCAACCGCACATTGGCCCCTTGCTCACCTCTTGACGGAACATCTACAACGCCCACAAGTTTCACAAGGTGCAGGAGCGGGCCACAAGGAAAGTAGGACACTTGCAGTGAGCTAGGGTCCTGCATCCAGGCCTTGTACACATGTGCTGCAGCGCAAGCGTGAGTAGATGGCACAAGGAGCCTTAAGTGCATATGTGCCACACACAGCATTCATTTTGGACTCTCGAAGTGTGAAATAAGGGCGAAACACCACTAGTTAGACGCATCGGAGGTATGCTGAATATAGGGAAAAAGAAGGAAACAGGCTAACCGATCTTTACAGGGATCAACGATAGCTGGGGTCCTGAGGGCTGCTGCGCTTGAGTGAGAAAACTTCCCGTGTGAAGAAAGCCTCCACCCCCAAAATAATCCTCTGCAGAGCCAAATACATGCGCAATCTTCGTATACACCTCAACACCCGGAAGTGAGGCCACAATGAAAACGTACAAGCAATTCACCGTGGGCGCATCTTACATCCTCATATATCTAGCTATGAATACGACATCCCTGCAAGCAGTGCATGCAAATCATGAAAAAATCTTGAGGCAGTTTACAAGAATACACATGCAAACATGCAAGAAGGTACCCCTGCAGCTTTCCTAGAATGCAGGTACTATGTATCACCTATATACAAAGCATACATGCATGCATCTGGAGACCATCTCATGCATATACATATTACGAGTCGGGTCTGTGATGCTTGCCTCCTCCAAAACCAGGGGCTGCTCCGCCTCCAAAGAAGTCGGCCACCCCGCGCACCTCACCAGGGGCCCCATGATCGCCTGGGCCTTCCGACGACCCTTGAACAGGAGCGCCCTGTCCATATGGAAGGACACTCTGCCCATCGAACCCGCTGAGCCCGGCAAAGCTCATGGTGGCTTTGCTGGTGGCTAGAGGCAGAGCGGCCAAGCTTGCAGTGTCACACTGCAGCTTCCCCCGTTGCAGTGATATCTGCTATTCCTAGCGCCAGTGTACTGAAAGTGGGAGAACCCCAGATGTCTCACAAAACCCCTTGTCTCCGCTGTCAGCGGTCGCAGACCGCGAGAGAACCACCAACCCACCTGGCAGCAACACAGAAACAACTTGGGGGGCCGCGTCCACAGAGATAGGCTGGAATTTAAAGACTATTAGGCTATTTTGTAATGTTTGTCATGATCTGCATAGTACTAGCAATAGTAGTACTTCGACTGAAGATTCTGGGGGGCCTCCAAAGAGGGCCCCAAGGCCCCAAGTGGGGCGAGGGCCCCGGTACCTTCCATTGCTAATATCAAAAAAGCGCTACTAATCTTTAACTCTTGTATTAGTAGAACTCTCACATGACTTCGTTCCATCCACAAAACGCCCAGAAGGTGGCGCTAGAGGGGCAAGGGAGGCCTGTGGCCTTCATCATAACTCCGTCTGTTTCAGACACGCATTATAACTTATGCCCAACCTGGGAGCCAAGGGCTCTAAAGAACAAATGGCAAAAGAAACTATCTTCTGTGTTCTCACGCGAGGGGCTTCTCTGCACAAATGCCGCGATTCTCTGGCCTCGCCCGTGCTGCAACGTCTGCACAGACGACACGAACAGCAGCAACAGCAGCAACATCAACAGAACGTCACTGGCGGAAAAAGCCGAAGAACGCAAACCCCTGAAACCTCCGCTAACTCTTGTTCTGCAGAGAGCGTCCGAGCAAAGCACAACATCTCAGTGAAGGGTCTGATTGCTGTTCCGGCACCCTTCGGCTCCTTCAATGACGAGTTGCCGCCTGAGGCAGACGCGGCTGACAGTAAAAGTGGAGCTGCAGATGGCGATAACACTCCTCCGGAGGCGCCCAGGAAGATGCCTCCCTGGCTGCTGTCACGCCTGGAGGCGCTCGGCTACAAGGAACCAACACCTATTCAGATGCAGGTGAACCCTGCTGGTGCAAATCCTAGTGCAAAGGAGTTCATGCTGTGTACAGATACATTTGTTGCAGTGGACTGATAGCATTTTGCTAAACAGCCATTACATAAGCCTTAAGTTGGCGCTACGGCGCGGCTCGGGTACTTGCTGGGGACGGCATCATATTCAGGCTAATGCAGCAGGAACCACTGGAAGATTATTAATAGTTGATGAAGTAGACTTTGGCAGCCACAACATTATTCGCTTGCGCAGCAGTATTTGTGTCTATTCATGTCTCAGGCACTGCCACTGCTGCTACAGGGGCGCCATCTCTTAGCGTCGGCCCCAACGGGGAGCGGCAAAACCCTCGCATTTTTGCTGCCCGTGATAACTTGTCTCAAGGTATGGTGTCTCCTCCAAGTCTAATGTTGGTTTCCGTGCATACGCCGTGCAAGCGGTGGTGAGTGCCACAGTGTGCCTGCATGCTGTCGCCCAGACATCTTCGTTCAGTCCTCGCTCTCAGATGCTGTCTGGCTTCAGCCGACTGGAAGCCGCTGGCCATATGTGATTATTAGCCTGTTTCTGCGCGGTGTATCTACTGTGTGGTTGGTAAACTGCGAAGTTCTTGTGACTCATGCATTTGCACTGTTAATCTATTCGTAGTTTAAGCAAGAGGAATAGCATAAACGTTGCCCGTCTTTGTCCTTCAGGCACCTCGCAGTGCCTTTGGTCGCTTGGTTGTTTTGTCTCCAACCCGAGAGTTGGCTCGACAGAGTCTCAGGACCTTTCAGAGACTGACAGGAAAGTGCATTCGCCTTAATTGTAGAGGGCTGCAAGTGCATTTGTGTCAGCAGTTTTCAGCACCAATAGAAATCGCACAACCTTGAATTTTCATGTTGAAAATGGACAGAAGCGGCTCTAAAAATATGCTTCACAAGCACGTACATCCACGTTAACACATTGGTGCAAGGGGAGGTGCTGGCCATATGGTTTGCAGCCCTAATTTGTATAAACACACGCACGCTGTCTGGACGTGTTAGGCCGTATGTGTTTGCCTCGTGCTGCTTGTGCAGAGGGCACCGGTTTTAAAGCCGCGTTCCCCCAGTCTCATTCAGGGAGTAGATACGGCGCGGCGGATGCTGTGTTTGCTACACCCCTCTCTCTATTAACTCTTCTGAAGGAAAAAAGAGTGCGTCGGATCCTGCCTTGCCAAGGCCTCCCTGTTGAGAGAGGCAGTGAAAAGGACCCAACAGACTGCGTTGACTCAGGAGACTGTCGAAATGTGCCCGCATGTATTTGGAGCAACCTGCATATCGGGCCTGGCGGGCTTGTAGTGAGAGCTAGACACTAGGAAAGATTGATAGTGGCTCGCTTTATGCGCGCAGCTTTCGCTGTCTGACTGCCAGCACCTGGTTCTAGATGAAGCAGATCGGCTCTTGGACTCTGGGTGGGTCTTCAAACAGATTCAAAAACTCCTAGAGGCTTTCCGGCTGTTCCAACAGCGCATTTTTGTTTTTTGCGTGTAACATGGACAGCGGACCGGCATACTTGTTGCGTTACCGTCTTTCAGTTTTTCGCCACAAGTCGATGCACTCCTCTTTGAGATAAAGAGCGCAACAGCGACTGCGAAACGCCTCCACATATGTCTCTTCTCCGCAACGCTTCCGCCTTCGGTGGTATTGCTGGCCGAGTCTATAACCTACGGTGCAGTCCACGTGACGGTTGGTGAGCAGACTTTGGCAGCGTTGACGTGCTTTTGGGTCAACTGTGGCACGCAGAACGAATATATACACCGTCGTCCGCCTAAGCACTTGAACATCTGCTACGCTGCAGATTCCTATTTGCTGCTTGCTTGCACTTTGCACGTGGTGCCTTTGTGAGGTAACGAATGCAGGTCGAGCCAGCGCTGCCGCGCCGCAGATTGAACAAGAGCTTGTCTTCTGCTCGACAGAAGCCGGCAAGCTGTGGGCCCTAAAGAACCTCCGCGTCGAAAGGAAGCTCATCCCTCCCTGCTTGATTTTTGTCGAGGTAAGGAAAAGGGGCATTTCGTTTAGCTATTATTTCATCCCGTGTCACCACTCAAGATCTTGAGGTCTCTGCGAAGTTTTGTCCCCAAATTACTGTGTGGCTCGGTTAGAGGGATAAAGTGTTTACATAGCAGCGTTAGAGAGCTCTTACCCCCTGTAATTGAGATACTGCAGGATCGTTCACCTAAATCTACGCCGAACTGGTTCCTTTGCAGGGACCCATGCGTTCCACGGTTTCTTGCGTTTCCGTGTAGTTTCCTGCCGTTGTGAATTTTAATGTAATGCGTTTTCCGGGTTACAGACACAAGAACGGGCAAGTGAACTACTGAGGGAAATGATAACTGAAGGGATGACGGTTGATTTGTTGCATGCCGCGAAGAGCAAGCAACAGAGAGATGCGACAGTTGACGCTTTCAGAACTGGAAAGGTGTGGACTTAGTCTCTGCCAACGACGAGCCATATCGGCAGGTTTTTTAGACCCAAAATTTGATATGCATGCCAGCCTCCACTGCTGCCCATCAGTTATATGATTGTGTAGCAGCTACTGGACAAAGAGAAAATGTCGTAGGGAGTCAGTGGACAGAGGACGGCAGGCGATTCACATAAGCTCGTCTACACAGGCATCGATAAGAGCATATGAAGTGTCGCAGCTTATGTATTGTGCTTGCTGTGCGGTCGCAGATATGGTTCCTGATCTGTACAGATTTGGTGGCGCGTGGCATAGACTTCAAAGGCGTAGCCCTCGTGATCAACTTCGATCTTCCTATCTCCACATCGGTGTATATACACCGTATTGGCCGAACAGGCAGAGCGGGCAAGGAAGGGAAGGTAGGCAAACCGCCTGTGGCACCCAGTAACCCAATGCACTGCAATGCTCTTGACCCTGTAGCTCCCCGTCAGGCAGTAAGCCTTCATCTTAGGCCCGCTTATTTTAGACTATTGTTAGGACGTCCGCGAGATGCCGTAAGTGCACTGCGCTTGTGTGCCGATGATATAGGAGTTGACCTCTTTTCACTATGCGCTCGCAGGCGTTGACATTCTTTACTTTAGACGACGTGCCCCGGTTGCGTCCCATCGTGCAGATAATGCAGAAAAGCCCGAACAGCAAAATTCCGCCATTCCTAAACTCGAGGCTGACCCGTAACTTGCGGGTCAAGGGGCAGAAGAAAAATAGAGGCCGTTGGACTCCCCATAGCAATCGGCCGTCTGGCCGTTCACGGAAGCCCATACGGCCAGTTGCAAGGCAGGTCTAGCCGTTGCTACTTGCCTACATCCAATCGTTGCAACCAGACGCTGTGGCTGCCGTAGTAGCGCAATGCGTCTTCTGTTTTTTCTTTTACGCATTAACTGCTCAGAGCGGTTGTAATGAAGGCTAAACGGCGGGCGTGGGCCGTAGCTGCCTCTCTGGCCAAGAAAAAGAAGGCGAAGGAACTTGGGGATGAGGCTTCAACAACACCGCACGTCTCAACTGCAAACAGTGACGCGATCAGTGAACCGATCGCTCGCGGAAAGGGACCGAAAACTAAAGAAAAAGCAACTAGGAGCAAAGACAGCCCAAAGGGCAAGTTCAAGCGCACGCATGATCCTCAAATGCATCCTGGGAACAGCAGCTTCAAGCGGCGGCGGCGCGAGTCAGCGGCTCATTCCTTCAAAGAGTGACACATGAGCCAGGCATGAGAAACGAAAGTAGGCTTCCTGTTACTACTTATTCCTCGCAAGGGCTTTGCTTCCATTCACCTTCAGCGTGTGTTTGCATATCTGCATCTTGACGTAGTCTGAGGTCCATCAGCAGGTCTCCATCCCGATGTTTGCCGCAGGGCCTCTCCTGTGAAAATCTTCCACCGACTTAATCCTACCACGAAGGCAGAAGCGCACAGGAACTGAGGTCTTCTGGCATGCTTGGGTACCATGCGGGACTTCACACGGAGTCTCAAAACAAAGAACCTCTCTTAAAATTGTTGATTTGTCATTTATATGGCTGCAAGATCCAGTTCGCTGCCTTCTGTGCACAGCTGTTCAGATGTGGCAAGCGTCATGCCCATGTCTTCAGTCATTCCGCCACATAGAGTATCGATGAACTGAAGCACAAACAGCATTAAAAGTAAACAAGCACACAAAGGGAAGATTAGTGTGCAGGCTAGAGAAACAATGTTGCACGCGCACGCCGCAGGAAGCACTGCCGCAAGCCTTGTGGATCTCCCACACTCACTACAAGGTAGCAGTTCACTCTCACATGGAGCCACTGTTTCTGCTGTTCCTGTTCATAATGATCAACGCGCTGCATGGGGAATACAGCGACGGTAGTGACGGTTTGCGCAGACTCAGAAAGAGCATCACACGCGAAGAGCGTGGGGTAGGGCAGTACAAAAGGAAGCGTCTTCCGCAACGAGGTAGCGTTATTTGTAGAGTCTATCTGTCTTACGTTGGATTGGGCATCAGTTGCCGTAATCGTAGCGGCCTGGTCCAGCAGCAACTGCTGTCTTGCTTCTTGCTGGCGGCGACTGTTCTGTGCCGCAGCTGCCTCTGCGCGGCTCGCTATATCTTCTACTGATGCCGTAAGGGTGTCACACACAGCGGAACAGCGTGCGTATTGTATGTACAGCTCTCGCAGCTGTTCTTGCATCTCGAGCTCTTGTTGCGCCTCAGACGCAGCCCCGGACACATGAGAACGGCGCAGAAGCAGCAGCTGCTTGCTGAGTCTCTCTGCATTCCTTTCCTCTCCGCGGATTCTCTCTTTCAGCTCCTGCACCTGACTGAGCAGGGTGTCATTGTTTTTTTCCACATTCGCCAGTGCGCTACGACTCCGTCTCAGCTGCTCCTCCAGCAATCCCCTGTTGCTTAGTGCGGGCGAATCGGCTGAGACATCCTTCTGGGCCAGCAAGGCCTGAAGAAACTCCCCTGCCCTTTTTATCTCTCCTGCTTGTGCTTTCCCGTAAAAGCGGTCGATCGAAGAGAGAACCTCTTCCACGCTATACTTCACCGTGTGAATTGTCGCTTTGCTGCAACAGGTGGCGCCGCAACACCCACAGGGTCACTTAAGCAGCAATGCCATTGAATGGGGAAATATTGTCAGTTAACCTGGGCTGCCGATTTGGCATTAAAAAGTGAGTTCTATGGATCATGAGCTATAGCGGGTAGCCATGGGGATTCGGTGAGACGGGATAGATCTAGCATTATTGTAGAGCGTACCAATCTTCGGAGATGTTTGCCCGCGAGCGTTCCCTGGCTTCTTCACGTCCAGGCTCCGTGTGTGAGAAGCTGCTTCCTCTTTCTTTGACTTTATGGCTACTGGTCTCTCGTTTTTTATTGAGAGACAGTTGTACTGCCGCAGCGAGCGACTCTGCAAGCCGCAGCAACTCAGCCACTGCGTCTGCTTCAGCACGAAAGAGCACGCGCAGGTCTAGGGCGATTCCCACTCTCTGCAGCATGAAAGTAGTCACTTGCTGGAGTAACTTCAATTTTTTGGCAGGGCTTTTGGCCTCTCGCACCGCCGCGGCGGCCACCCTCCCACCAGAGTCACTTGCCACACTACTACAGGCACCATGATGCACCGCTTCGTCTTCTCCGTTTTCAGACGTGAATAATGGCGGCTCAATTAGATATTGAAGCTTTAATAGCGTCAGCAGGATGAAGTCCCTTCGACTGTTCTCATCACCTCTGGGTAACTCGCAGTCCTGCCCGAGAATCCACATGCAGGCCACAAGCCGCCTGAGGTCCACCGCTGACGCGGCGGTCATTGAGCTTCTAAAGCATCAAATGCACTCCTCTGTACTGCAACACCTTCCCTAGTTAAGCATACAGGGAAACTGTTGCCGCACCGGAATTCCGTCACTCCTAGGTTCAGCGACCATCACGAAATGAACTTTGTGAAATTAGTAGATCAAACACAATGTGAAAACCCCTTCCGACCAGCTCCTTTGAGAAATGTAAAACGGTGTTTTGGCTTCTCTGTCCGAACCAGGAATCGAACCTGGGTTTACACGGCCACAACGTGTTGTCCTAACCTCTAGACGATTCGGACCGAGAGCAGGGGACACGTGGAGAGATGCCAACCCAATTACAAATCTCAAAGTAACCAAGAAGCAACACACCTGTTCGAAATTCATTTGAATATATGGCTAATTAGTAATTAACCTTTTAAAGTATTGTTGAACAGCATGTTCATATGAATGGGAGCGGTTGGTGAAGGGTGACCCTGAGCCCCGAACGCTTATCCGCAAGAACACGCTGTCGTTGTGTGTTCATTCGTTCATTTCTCCATGCTGATAATTTTAGGTTTTTTCAATGTTTGCGAGCCGCTTCTCCTCAGCGTGCCTGAATCTAGTTTATGCTTGGTTTCTCGGCGTCCCTTACTTTTTCGCCTCAAAACTGCATAAGGTTAAAAACGATCCGATACCGATACCGTCTCATTTGCATGATAAGCTTAGTGAGGTCCCATCTGTGCAGGGTAGATGCCTTTAGGTGATACAATCGGTTCTTTGCATGGGCTTCTGCCGTTATGGGACAACCTACAGGCGAGGGCTTCGCTGGGCCCGCAGCTCTTTGCGTCTATTTGACCGGCTTTGGACCCTTCGGAGAAGTATCTGAAAATCCGTCTGCAACTCTTGTCAAGGAATTGGCTGCAGCTCTCGGAGATGCCAATGCCGCTACAGACCCTTTGTCCCATCAGAAGAAGAGCATCCCTCCAAATTCTTGCCCTTCGAGCACCCCTGGCACGGTCGGAAGCCCCGGAATCACTGTAAAGCCAGCAGAGTGCAACAGTCCTCCAACGGAGGCGTATGTGGAGAAAACAAGAATTAAATTATGCGGGTGGGAGGTTTTGGAGGTTTCGGCAGATGCAGCCACAGAGGCCGCCTACCGCATACATTCTGCGTTGAACAACAACAGAAAACAAGAGCAGCATTTGAAGCAGCTAGAAACTAATGACAACAGTTCAGACGTTGGAGAGGGACAGAGAAACCATGAAGCAAATCCCTCAGTTCCTGACGGAGGCCGGACGGAGGAGCCTGTGGCCTTGGCCTTGCATTTCGGTGTCAACATGAAAAGTAACCGTTGGATGCTTGAGACAAATGCGAAGAATGGTACGAAGCAATTCCAACTTACCACTTTTTCAGATACATGCACTGCCAGTAGCAATTTTGCACCCGCCAGCAGCCTGGTGAGGCTTTGCGTTGCTGCAGCACCTATCGCTGCAAAGCGGTATGTATGTGCCCGTTTCTCTTAATGCTGCTTCGTACAGATGCCCGATTTACTTGTGTGGATGCCAAGGGTTGCCGGCCCCAGACAGAGCGAATATCATGTTGCATGCCATTGGAGTATCGTTTACGTTCTTCTCTTTGTCTGGAAGTAAGTTACATAAAGAAGCCTTTCGGCCACATTCAGATTTCGTGAAACTATGTCACGGCAAACGGACTGCTGAGACTCTACATTTATTTTCCCATATCGAACTGCTATGTTGATTTTTCAACATCCTAAACTCTTCTGTGTTTGCTGCTGTGTGCTAATGTTCGCTGCGTTTTGCTGTTGTTTAGCCTATTGCTGCAAATCTAAGAGAGCGAGGTTTCCCTTGCGGCGTCTCAGACGATGCAGGCTGCTTCGTTTGTAACTTCCTCTAGTAAGAAATGTGCCGCAATTTTTCATGTTCATTCTCTCGGAGAGCCACTTCACGTATTTCTTTCAACTGTTTCTACGGTTCCCACTGCGACGTAGTCCTGCTGTTTTGTTCAACTGCAGCTTCAAGAGCCTCCAGGAGAGTCAAATGAGCGGTGTTACTGCTCTATTTGTGCATGTATGTGTAGAGAGGCTAGGGTTCCCTTAGTACCGAGATAGGCAAGGCAGTTACTTGCAGCTGAATACATTGACTTTTCAACAACAAACCCGTCCCCATAAAGCCTGTATATGCTGCCCCATTCGTGTGCTTCTTTATTTGCAGTGGTAGTCTCCCTTGCCGGGCTGTTTTTCATTTTCAGGTCCCCCCTTTCTCAGAGCTGAGCCTGCAGCAACAGTTATCTGCCGCCCTTCAACTGCTCTCCATCTTAGCCCAGAGAAGAACACCTGCTGAGGCCGTATCTAACACCACATGTAAGTGAACATGACAGCGGTCTGGAGGGAGTCGACCAATGCTTGGAAGGATTTTCGGGCCACATTGCTTGCAGCTGGGGAGCACAGTTTCTGCGTGTTGGCGCTTCAGAGCTAGCTGCACAAAAATTTGGGCAGCAGGCGACCAGACCGGTGCTCACTAAGTTGCAAGGTACTTAGTAGGTGCTTCTCAGCAAGCGTCTTCTTTGATCTCTTTTTGTAGGATAAAGTACACCTCGAAAGTGCAAAGGTGCATGCAATCCAATGTCCGAAATCTTACCAGCTTCTAGTCATCTGGAGCTTTTTGATTAGGTTTCAGCTGGATGCTACTTGCAGCGTAGCAACGAGAGAGTAATTTCAAGCTATTTATTAGTCTGCAGGATGCAACTACTCAGCAGCATGACTCGCAACAAGACTACAGGAGCGCACCGGCACTAAATCGTTTGATTTTTGTGAGCCTTTTAATGAATTATTTCAAGCATATTAGTAAACAACTTTGTTACGCTGCGTAATCATTCTGATTGAAGAAGCGGAGCTAGAATCTGGCACCCCGGAGCGCGTACGACAGTGTTGTTTACGTGTCCAAACCACAATTCAACACTGGTGCCTACACAGCTCAGTATGTTTTGGCCTGCGAAAATGGACATGTACGTGCATTTATGCCCGCGCTCCAATGAGAAAAAACGTAATTTATGGCAGCATTCATCTGCAGAAATGTGCGCCGGTGGTTCCACATGAACGCGAAGAAACTCATGAAAGAGCTATTCGCAATGAGTACACGCCAGCTTTCACCGAATGAAGCCACAGCCAATTCATCGTAAGGCTAACCCGTTCACTGCTGAGCCGCAAAAAGAACTGCCTGTGGCTTCAAAAGGCGAACCCACGAAGATTGAAATTTCAAACGCCAACTGCAACTGCTCCACGTCGTTTAACACGGGAACTGCTACAACGAAGCTAGATCAACACCCGTGTTGCAGCGATCTTACGGATTCCTAAGAATTCCATGACCTTTTTCGGTCCTGATGCCCGTATTTGTGGGTTTTGAAGCACTCCGCTTTCGGTGCTGCTGTTGTGGCTGTTGTTTGTCCTGATGCTGCTGACCATACGAGGAAGTGCTGCTGCTCTCATGGGCATTGGACACCCCTTCTGAGTTAGATGGAATCCGACCAGTGAGTGTTTCCTGTCGTGTTGTGTGTTCATCGTGCTGCCTTTGCCCCGGATGCTCCTCCTCGTCATTACCGAGGTAATCAGGTGCCCCTTGCCGCTGCTGGTTCTGCTGCTTGTTCTGCTGCTCTTCGAAGGGTTGCTGTGCGTCCCCTGTCGCACTTGTTCGGTCCCACGGGCATGTTATATGCACGTACAGGTCAGCGTAGGGCTTATTGGACGGCATGGGGAGAACCTGAGGCTGCTGCTCCAGCTTTATAGAGCCATGCGTATGTAGCAGCAGCAGGTGCGAAAACGTGCAACAGGCAGTGCGGGGATCAACGCGGCCTCTGGGAAGAAGCCTGCTTAAGGGAATCTTAGACTCTTGTTGCCGCTGTCGTGGCTGCTGCTGCGGCTGCGGGGACACCCCGTCGGCAAGCAGGTTCTCTGAGACGTCAGGATGTGTAAGAGCGAATTGCTGCAGGAGCTCTCTAAGCCTGAAGGATGCAATCGCTGTGTTGTGGGCTTCATTATGGTCCCTCTGCTGTTGCTGCCGCTGTTGTTCATCGTCGCTAAATTCAGTGCCACAGCCTTCGAACTCGGGAAACTCCCCAAAAGCTAAGGCTTCCAGAGACGCCTCAGAGGAAGGCACGCTTAGCCCACTTGCCCTCCTGCTGCTTCCCAGCCGCGAAGTGCTTGATGCCTCCTATCGAATTCGGACATCAGCAAGGAAGCGTAGCAATATAATTCAGGCACTATCAGCAGAGGCGGTAGATGAAGACACCTCAATCAGCAGAGCATCAAGAAATCAGAGAAGATAGCAGCAACATGCAGCAGCAACATGCAGCAGCAACATGCAGCAAACAAAGCAGCTACTAATCAATTTAGAAATTGCAGCTCATGGTCGCATGTACGCCATTCAAATTGAAGAAAACTACCGATGTGGTGCTGCAGTTGAAAGGAGCAACAATAAGCAGCAGCAGCAACGGCGATCACAGGAGCAGCGCCACAGCGCCTTACGGATTCTCTTGGAAGTTGGGTCAGCCGAGTTTGTGTGGCCCTTTGTTGCATGCTGCTGCTGTCAAAGATGCCTCGTAGCACTTCCACGTACTCACCGCTGCCTAGGAGATCACCGCTTCGGGGTATGCCTTTGCTGCCGTCCTGCTCCTGCTGCTGCTCCTGCTGCAGCTCGGCGTCTGTGTATAGCGTAAAGTCGCCCTCTAAGCCTCCTCGCTGCCATGGGGCCAAGCCCTCTATGCTTTGGCCGGTTTGCTTCTCGCCATCAGCTTTTGAAACTACAGCTGAAACACCATATAAGGGCTCAGATGACACTTTTCTCGAATGCCTGTTTGCAGCGGGGCCACGGCTATGTGCTGCCACAGCTCCTGCTGCTGGGTTTTGAAATCCCCATGCTGATTTGCGTCTCGACAGAAGCAGTTGCTGTTGCAGCCCTCGGTAGAGGCACGAAACGGGATGGAGCGCGTATAGCTGCGCCAGACGAAGGCAGAAGCAGGCA